AAAGGTCACCTAAACTCCACAGAACCCCCAACCTTTCTTCTATAAAAGCTGAGAAATGAAGGTGGAAAGGTTACTCAGCAGTTAAGAACATACACTGCTCTTGCCGAAGACCTGAGTTCAGTTCCTAGTACCCACATCTGGTAAAAAATTCCAGAAGTTCTGACAGGCTTTGGCCTCTGCAGGTACTACACTCAAATGCATGAACCCATACAGATAATTATACACATATGTACACACACATATATACACATGAATAAAAATAAAACCTTTAAAACCTCAGATGCATTGGGAATGTACATCAAAGCCCTAATGTGACCACAACAACACGGAAAACAAACCTAGAACACAAACTATTCCAGGAGAAAATGATTCAACAGAACGGCCCCTGTAAAACAGATTCTGGTCAATGTAAGAGGGCAATTAAATTTATGTTTTGAAGTCCTATATCTCCATCAGAAACATCCAGCAATGATACACAAATATTTTTTAAAAAGTATAAAACTTTAGTCATAACCACAATAATAAAACCAATTTTAAAACACAAGGATGATAATATGCATTTCCATGAACCAACGGGAATGAAAATCCTACGTGACACAAAGTAGAGGTAGCCAGGTCATCTCCAAATTCGTGTACCCCCAATGGAGGTAAAGACGAGCAGATTTCATCTCTGTACCCTACATAACCTGTAAGTCCTGAGCTGCCAACCTTAGTTGCCCGTCACTTACTTCCACTGAACCACGTACGGTCTGGAAGCCTGCACTCTGTAAAATACTGCTTCCACGTCCAAAGCTGCCCCGCCACGTTGCCCCTCACCATGGCAAGGCGTGGCCCTCCTACACATCCTTCCTCCAGGCCTCCGTAACTCTCTTCGTTGTCCACCTTCCTTTAATCCATGTCTTATTTATAGAATGTCCTTGCACAGGATCACTTCTATAATTTAGCATCTTAATAACTCTACCTCTTCTAAAGGAAGCCTCTCTCAGTTATTTACACATTGACAAGTATTCACCTCAGAACCCTCATAAACCACTTCTAATGTAGAAAGCAGCAATGAAGTTGCTTAGTGCCCAGAAAGAAGCATAAAAATCACAACGTAACTTGTAAAGCTAGAGCGGAACATGCAGCATAAACAAAAGAGACACAAGTTCATCATTCACTCATATTTACTATGCAAAGTGAAAGTTTTATGAAGCATTGAATAATATATATTTGTTCTTTTACATAGGCAACTCATTCCCTGTAAATAGTAATGTTTCATCAATAACTCCCTCCCTTGTGCTGAGTTTCTGAACAGGAAGGAAGGCATCAAACTTCCTGTGTGGGCAGGTGAGGATGCAGGCCTCTGAAGGCTTCCCACCTTTGGGACAACTAGTTCTAAGAGGAACAACAACAAATATAACTCTTAAGGTATTGTACAGCTTTGAGGACTCAGAGAAACTAAAAGAGACAGAAAAAAATTAGTAGAGGAAACAGAAGAAAGGGAAAGGAAAGGGGATAGAAGAATGATCTATGGTCTTCAAGCACAAAAGAACACAAAAGCCAAAGTTAATTCCCATGCCAGCATTATTAGAATGGACAGGTGACTAGTCCATGAGGAAGTTTTGGATATTCATTCTGAGATCCCATTCGTAATCCTCAAAGGAAGACAAAGTAATTCTAAATGAAACCATTCCCAAATTCCTATCAAAAGCTGAAACAAATCCATCTAAAAAAAAACAAAGCTTAACAAAAACTTCATCTGTGTGATTCATATTGATCTCACAACATATATAAGAAGAGAAGACCCTGTGATAGAAAAAGATAATTAACATTTAATTTACTAAAGACTTCAGATATTAGAATTACCAGATATAAAACACAAAACACCCAGCATGAAGGAGGGAAGTGGGCCCAGAGCTCTAACCAGGAAATTATTTGCAATTGATAGCTGCAAAAAGAAGGAAAATAAGTTTTCTTCAGCCAACCACATTCCAGCACAGGCCTCCCCTCAGGAGTAGCTGAGCAACACAAAACAGAATCCATGGTTAATGGGATTTTGTTATTGTTGTTTGGTGTGTGTGTGTGTGTGTGTGTGTGTGTGTGTGTGTGTGTGTAGCATACGCAGACACCAACCACGACATACATGCAGAGGTCAGAGGGCAACCTCAGGGGTCAGTCCTCACCTTCTACCTGGATTAAGACAGTGGTGCTCCTGTTTGCTGCTACATATACAAGGTGAGCCGGCCTGAGAGCTTCTGGTAAATCTCCCACCTCACCCTCCAAGAGTATCCTGGGATTTTAGACACTTGCTCTACAGTATCTGGCTTTTCAAGTGGGATCTGGGGAATCCAAACTCAGATTGTCAGGCTTGTGGATATTATTCACTGATAATATCCAGCCAGGTAATACCTTCCCCTACCCCCAACCCCCACACCTCAAGACAGGATTTCTCTATGTAGCTCTAGCTATCCTGGAACTTAGACCAGACTGGCCTTGAACTCACACAGATCCACCTGCCTCTGCCTCCTGAGTGCTGGGATTAAAGGCATATATCATTATGACAAATTTAGTTAATAGTCTTTTTAAAAGGAAAATAAGATGCTGGGGAGTGAATGTATCCAGAGGTGAGAAAAAGAGTGTCAAGAAGGAATATCTACATAGCAGCTTCTAGTCTTCAAAATGGGACAAGAGGATGTCAGGATCATAGGCTTATCATGCTTTGTAATGAAAAATATGTTACAGTCTTTAGTAAATTCATCCCTTGTTACAGAAATATATGAAATTAGTGAAACAAATGATAGTTATCAGATTTAAGCAATGGGCTTAATTAGTGTTGCTGATAAAAATGACTTTTTTGCATAGGTTCCATTCATTAGATGGTAAGCACAGGAAATACAATAAGCATGACAAAATAATGCCATGAATCAATTCCTGCTGCTGAAGAAGAACAGCCCACAAACCAGAAACAGAGCAATCACAGTAATTGGGCACCAGCCAAAGCCAAGTCCTGGGCTGGAAATGTCCTTTGTCATATTTAACTCCACTTCAACAGCCCCTCACAATTCACCCACGAAGAGTTTCCCTTTCCTAGCCTCCCCTCTAGGCAGGTTTGCACATCTGGCATTTCCTTACAGTCACACATTCTTCTTCTTTAGGTTGCGAGAGAGCTTAATTACTAAAGTCCTTTCCACCCAAGCATGCATGGTAGTGCCTGTTTATAATCCCAGTGCTGAGAAGGCAGAGTCAGGAGGATTCCTGGAGCTTTCTAGTCAGCCAGCACAGCCCAACCAGAGAACTCCAGGTCCCAGTGAGAGACTCTGACTCAAAAATAAACAAAAAACCAAGAGTGATTACTGAAGAACAACACATCCAAGGTTTATTTCTGGCCTTCACAGAGAAGACCATACATACACACACACATACAATTTATCTTCTTACAGTAAACTATGCACACATCACTTCAAACTATGAATGAACTAACATTCAGACTTTACAATCCAGGGGTCGGTTATGTGGTTCAGTCTATAAAGGTGCTTATATTTGCTCAGCAGAACCACTTGGTAAAAGGATAAAAAAAAACCTCCCAAAAGTTGCCCTCTGACCTCCACATATGCACCGTGAAAGTGCACATGTGCACACATACCAAGTAAACAAGTGAATGTTCCTAATTTATAATGTTATTAATTTATAAGCCAGGCACAGTGGTGTACACCTTTAACCTCAGCACTTAGGAGGAAGAGGTGGGAGGGTCTCTGTGAGTTCGAGGCCAGCCTGGTCGACATAGAGAGTTCCACGACAGCCAGGGCTACATAGAAAGACCCTGGCTCAAAAGAACGGAAAAAAAAACCAAAAACTTGTAATTCAGCTGCGGGTCTAGTTCTTCTGGTTCTCACAATGTAGCACTTGCCTAAATATATTTGAGCGAGAGTTTAACACACCAAAAACACTGCCAAAAGCTGGATGTGGTAGTACATCTCTTCAAGCAAGACTAGCCTAGTCTAGAGTTCTAGGGCTACATGGAGAGACCCTGTCTCAAAACAAGCAAACAACACAAAACGAAACAGTGCCAAGAGGCTGGCAAAATGGTTCAGCAGGTAAAGACTGCTCTCAAGCCTGACAACCTGAGTTCAGTCCCTAGGACTCACATAGTAAAAAAAGAATTGACTGTCACAGACTGTCATCCCACCTTCACATGCTTGTGGGGAATGTCTGTGGCACAGCTATGCACATGTACATAAATAAAATTTAATTTAATTAAAAAATCACAGCCAAAGACAGCTCCAAGTTTAAAGAATGCCTATATACACAGACATAGATTTTGATATACAAAAATCATAATTGCACCACCAGTCAAAAACAACTTATTAAGAAGCTGGAGAGTCTCTGTTGTTAAGAGCTACACTGGCTGCTCTTTCAGAGAAGCCAGGAACAATCCTACCACACACGTGGCAGCTGACAACCATCCATAACTCCTAGGGGATCCGACACACTCCCCTAGCCTCCAAGGGTACTGTACATATATACGGCACAAACACACATTCTGGCACACACCCACATCTACACACATAAAAATAATTTTTAAGATATTACATATATATGTGAGAAAACAGTCTGTCAGATTCACGTCAGTAAGACAAGTCACCTGCAGTCTGAGGATAGGGAACATTTATGTAAGATTCACATAGATGTTCATATGGAAAGAAAAGAGCAAAAACTATTACTATTTAAAATTTGTTACTCTTCCACCTAGTACCTTTACATCTAGGTGTTCATACAGGGGAAACTTCTACACATTTTTTAAAAATAAAAATCATATCAACATTCTTAACAGTATCTTTTGTAAGATTTGGGTAGAAGGCAGGAAAAGAAGGGAGGGTACATCCATGCACAGCCATTTCTACTTACCTTCAAATAAAATTAAGGATCAAATAAAGTATCTCATTTTCAACAAGGATTTCAAAAGCTATGATAATAACAATAACCCAACAATAAGAATAACAACAACCACCAAAACTTACTTCAAAAAGAAAGAGGATGGAGTCCAGCTCCTCCCTTTGTGACTTATTATTCCCTGAAAATTAAGAAAAAGAAATTAGTCATCACGCTAGCACTTAAGCTTTAGAATATCACACATGCTGCTGAAAAGCATCTTAAATGCTGACAGCATGCCTGGGGAACGACTAGGGGGCGGTGGGAGAGCGCTACAGGAATGCATGAGATGGCTCATCCAGGCCACTCAACCACAGCCACCCCCACTCTCATACACCAGCTCTTTTAAAGCAACTTCCATGCCTTCTAAACTGGTTTCTTAATGAGGTACTTACTGGCTCAAATTGCAGCAAAATGCACAGGAAAAACAGCTATAATATTAGCAGGCAAAGAACATGAACATCTACAGAAAAGAACCTGTCTTCTCCATTGTACAATCTCACACTGTGCTTTTTCTTTTTTGAGACAGAGTATCATTGTAGCCAAGACTGGCCTCCAACCTGATATATAGCTGAGGATGACCTTGAAGTTCTGATTCTCCTGCCTCTACCTCCCAAGTACTGGGATTACAAAAGTCATGCCACCATACTCAGTTTTATGTGGTGCTGGAACTAAACCCAGGGTTTCTAGCATGCTAGGCAAGCATTCTACCAACAGAGCTACACCCACAGCCCCACAATACCCTTTTGATAATATTAACTAATAATAATATAAACCGTATACCTGCCTCCATTAGTAATTATCATTTATTGTCTACAGTATGTCCCAGACATTGTGCTTAGCATGCATCTAACATAAGAATCAGCAGCTAAGCCGGGCAGTGGTGGCACACACCTTTAATCCCAGCACTCAGGAAGTAGAGGCAGGTGGACCTCTGTGAGTTCCAGGTCAGCCTGTTCTAGAGTTCCAGGACAGCCAAAGCTACAGAGAGTAACCCTGTCTCAGGAAAAAAAGAAAAGAAAAAAACAAAAGAAAGGATGGAAGGGAGAAAGAAAAAAGAAAGAGAAAGAAAGAAAAGGTAGAAAGATGAAAGAAAGAAAGAAACAAACAAACAAACAGACAATAAACATTGTAGGGTTTTCAGATCTCCCTTGCAACTATCAGACACTGTTGCCACAGGCTGTGTATAAATGAATGGATAGGACTGTATCCAGTGAAGCCAGTGGGACATGGTGGTCCAAAACTGTAATACTGGTAGTGGAAGGCTGAGAATCACCAGGAGTTCAAGGCCAGCCTAGGGTCCATAGCAAGAACCTCTCTCAATGACAAGAACAGTAACAAAGGTCAAGAAAGCTATCAGTTTCAGGTTCCTGACCTGACTGAATGCTTATAGCTCTAAGAAGTAGCTATCATTCATTCATTCATTTAAGACTTTTTCAGGAATTCTGTTGGGCCCTGAGTTATTAAAGGTATGAACCAAACAAGCAAAAATCTCTGTCCTGGGGAAAATAATATTTTGACAAGATGAGGCAAAATATAAAAATAAGTTAGAATATCCATGAGCAAAAGCAAAGGAAGAATACTAAAACTAAAATTTTGATTAGGGAAGTCAGAAAATACTTTACTGGGAACTGACAATTAGACAACTTTTACAAATGAAATGGCCTTTACAACAAGTAGAGAAGCAAGCCATTCGGAAATCTGAGGGAGTCACCCACAGGCAGGGAGAGTTGACCAGACAAAGTTCTTGTGGCTGAGCATGCTTCACAGGTCAGGACGGACCCAGAGGCTAGTGCAAAGCCTGGGGAGACTGGAACTGACAGGCTTAGAGTGTAGGAGTAGCAAAGGAAGGCAGACGAGGTGAGTAAAGACACCATAGTGACTAAGAATACAACGCCATTGCAGGGCTAGAGTCCTGGTGACCGTGTAAGCCATAGCCCCAGGTACTCTTCTGAAACCAAACTTGGGGGTAGAAGAAAACACAAGAATGGAAGCAAGGAGACCCTCTCTTGACTGGCCTCTCAGCCAGTCTAGCTGAGGCTACTAGAAGCTTTGGTGCTAGCAGCACAGGCGGGGAGACAGACCAATGATATTTTGTGAAGAAGAGAAAGTCAGCATCTCCAAACTTTTCTGAGTAACTAGAAACCTGATGTTACCATAAAATGATTTCATTACTCCTAGTAAACATTTTTTATTTCCTTTTTGGAATACATTTTTTTTTCACTCCTATTCAATACAAATTGCACAAAGAGCAAGAACTTCCCAAAATCTTACTCTGTTACTGTTGGTTCATCACTGAATCTTTGTGAGAGCTTCCAAATAGGGACACAGTCCTCTCTCCCATAAAGATGTTTCTGTCTCTATCCCTTGAATTGGAACTGCCTCATGACACCCTTTGACCAATGTGCCTCTAGCCAATGTGAGGTGCTTTGCTGATTGTGAGGCCCTGAGGTCATCCTGTGAAGGAATCCAGTCCGGCCTCCATGATGAGTCTCCACACGGAGAACTAAGATATTTCGGTCAACTGTGCGACATGTGAGTGAAGCCATTCAACACAACTGACCAAAGGGTGCAAGCTAGGCTGAGGCAGAACTTCCCAGCAGACCTAGGGAACCGTAAGATGAATGGTGGCCGTCTCAAGGCATTTGGGAGTGAGATATATATGTATCTGTCACACACCAACTGATACAGCCTTGAAATGCCACAAGTTTCTAAAAGGATGGATGTAAGAAAGGAATAATGAGGAAGGAAAGAGAGAAAAATGGGGAGTGACTTAAAATAATTTTGGATAGGTAGCTTTTTTTAGATCTGATGTCTAAATTTTTTTACTGCTTTTTTTGTTTTTTATTTGTGTGTGTGTGTGTGTGTATGTGTGTGTGTAGATGAGATCTCACTAAATAACCTTGTCAGACCTCAATATGCAAACTAGGCTGGCTTTGAACTCACAGAGATCCTCCTGCTTCTGCCTCCTAAGTGCAGGAATCAAGGCTTAAGCTGCCAAACTCAGTTCACTGATACTTTGACATTACCGGCTTCCCCTCCACATGCCTATAAAACCAAGTGGAGCAAAACCAACAAAGTAAATACAGATGATTTCATTTTTGTAACATTTATCCTTTGAGCCAAAATAAACTTTCTTAAGTTCAAGATTTATTTCAATCTACAAATCTGAGGTGGAAACTGAGAAACACCTTTAAAACAAAACAAAACAAAACAGAAAAACATGCTGGCATCCAGGGCACAAGCTATTGCATAGTCTGATTGTATACTAGAGCCCCAAGCTCTTGCTAGACTCTGAACCAGCTGCTGGATACCAGAGCCCAGATCCTTTCTCCTCCACGCATAGGTCACACTTCCGTTTAATCACAGCAATTGGGGCATTTTAGAAAGCCTTTTGTTTTTCTTTCTTATCCCAAAAAAGGCTGTCTACATTCATCCTCTATCTTTTCTCACACAAAAAGCCACTCTGCACTTGCCTGTGTCCCACTGTTTACCCCTTCTCCACCTATCTGTTCCACCCCCTTCCTATACTATCTGTTACAAATCCACTTGGCTGCCCCTCTCCTCCTCCGGCTGTAGGTACACCCCTCAACAACTCTCCCATGACCAGCTTAAGACACTATCTACACATCACAGCTCCATGGGTGCCTTCCCAGCTCTACACCCCACTGCTCTGTGTCCACCTGTCAAGCTTCTGACAGTTCCTCTCCAAGAAATGTCCTCAGGTTAGATGTGAGCTCTCATTTCCTAATCCCACAGCATCTCCTCTTTCTGCACCATCAGGCTTTCTGATCATGCATGCCTTTAAACCTCCCCTGGGCTGCTATGACAATACACTTTCCTAACTCCCTTCCGCTAACATATCTCTCTCCTTTTTATTTGATGACTCCCTTCTCCTTGATATACTCTCTCCCTTGGAAGTAGCAAGCTTCTACCCACTTCTCCCACTCCCGGCTCACCTACATTTCTGCTGCCCAGCCAACACTTACTCCTGAGTGTCCCACAAGTACTTCTAATACAGGCTGTTCATCCTCTGAACTTCCAAATACTATTCTCCTCGAAGGTTACTGCAGCTATAAAGATACCTCGTAAGTCAATCTGGGACCCTGAAAAGTTCTTTGACTTCCCTCTCTCCTCTGTATTCAGCCACGCAGGACCCCTTCTCTTCCCTTAACCACCACCTTGCTGGGAGTCCTCTCCAGTCTCCCACAGCTCACACGGGGATGACAGCATCAGCCCCCACAACTCACCTCTGTACCCATGCACTCAGCACTTAACAGGACACTTGTCTCACAGGTAAATGTTTTTAAGTGCTCTAAGAAAAAAAAAAAAAAAAAAAAAAAAAAAAAACAAAGTCCCAACTCCTTGGCCTGCAAGTCAAGGCTCCTGGCAAGCGTAATCAGATTTCCTTACATCTCATTCACATACATTATGTTGCAAGAAAAAGAAACATGTTCCCCACACAGGCCCTCAAGGGCACAGACTCTGACCTCTACCTGCAATGCTGTTCTCCACTCCAAATCATACTTTCAACCCCATCCACCCACCCACAACCTTCAGGCTGAGTTCATCACCTGTGACCAATAGAGTGATCAATCATGCCTGCATAATGTAGCACCCTGTAAACCCAAAAGGATGCAGCTAAGGGAGCTCCCCACTTGTAAAGAAAAATGAATCATGTACATGCACAGTGGTATTCCCCAACTCCATGGCAAGAAAGTTCCTGTGTTCAGGGCCTTCCAGACCTCACACGCAGCTCTTTGTCTGTCTGTTCATAGGCACCCTTTTAAATCTGTACTATTCATGTGTAATGCACTAAACAAACAAAAAATTTATAATAAATATAAATAAGTAAGGGTGTTTCCCTACATTCTGCCAGCAATTCTCACAACTTAACAGACCCTGAGAAGAGAGTGGTAGGCTCCGGAATGCAGCCCAGAACCTGCAACTGGCATTAAAGGGGATAGGTAGCCTTGTAGCACTCAGCCCTTAGCCTGCAGGATCTGAAACTGTCTCCCAGCAGCCTGGCAAGACTGAACAAAGTTAATGGGCACCAGATGATGTTTGCTGGAGATGCTAGCAGCAGAATTTTGCATTGAGTTGGTGTGAGATACTGGGAAAAGCACTTTCATTTGTTTTTTCTAGTTTCCCAAACAGATGACATGAAATGGAAAGGCAAAGAGAGTGGTGGCAGCCTGCCCTTACTGGCCAGGTGCTGTGTGCCTAGCTCTGTGCTGAAACCTGCTAATCTGCTTCCTGCTGGCAGGAGGAAACCAGCACAGACAGGCCAAGTAATGATGAGGAAGCCACAGCAAGAAGAATGAGCAGAGTCTGGCTTCACAGCTACACAATTCCCTTACCAAATTCCCACAGCTGGCTTGTCTTCCAAAGAATATTTTACATACGGGCATAAGTATGTGAACATACAAACAAAACTCATCTGTGATACAGAAAATCTCTAAGGACAGGAGGTACAGGCAAGGAGGCACTTGCTTTTCATTTCACATCCCCTTTGACGGAATTTGCTTTTGCTGTTGGTGCTATTTTGTTGTTTTTGGCTTCTGTAGCAGGGTCTCACTTTGTAGGCCAGGCTGGTCTTGAATTCATAATTTTCCTGCCTCTGCCTCCAGAGTTCTGGATTATAGCTTGTGCAAACAAACACAGCTTAAAACTAGATTTAAAAAAAAAAAAAAAAAACTGTCCATGCATTATTTTTCTTCCTTGCTCTTTAAATAAATTATCCCTTTGGAATTCATGCCTTCTGTGGCTTCTTTCTATTTTCCCTTTAGCATCTGCTGTTCAGTTAACACCTGTGTAAGGGAACACTCAAGGGAAACAGCCCGCCAGAGTGATGTCTTAAACCCTGGGAAGAAAGAAAGCTTAAAAATGCGGGACGTGCAGCTCACAACAACATAACTTCTGAAATTTCCTGTGCGCTCAAAAAAAGAGTCGTAGAAATGCTTACCTTTTAACTTCAAACTATTTTCCAGTGTTATAAAATTTTCATAGAAGATGAAATATATCTGAGAGTAGTTCGTCTCAAAAAACTGCTTCAGATCGTTTGCATCCACATTATCTGAAAAAGAAGTTTGCATTTACAACATTATTAGAATTCATAAACATTTTCAAAAATGAAAGAAAATAAAGCTAGTCTTACCACTTACGAGACAAAACAAAGCAGTATTCTCATTTGTTTACTCACCTAAGAGAGTTCTGGGCTGCACTGGGACACCACCCCACACACAAATGTGCAGGAACCCGTAAGGCCCACCCAAGGCCAGACTGATGGGGGAACAACACTCACACACCAGCTAAACTGCTGGAGGAAGTGGATGGGTCCAAGAGCTTTCTTTGGGGAAAAAAAGACATGGAGATCCTTGGAAAAGCAGCTTGGACAGAGGCCTCTAGCTCTGTGGACTTGTGAAAAGCGACTGGTGGAGGTCTTACAGAGACATCAACCTCTCCTTCTCCGCTGCCACAGTCTTCTAGGCACGGGAACAGAAAGCAGTCCATGTGACCTAGCAGGCAATCCCAACACATCCCTGCAGCCGCATGTCTCCTTCTGGTGCCTAGGTGCCCTGCCTTCACTCCCCATCAACACTGTGCATCGTGGGTTCCTATTGTGCCACAGAGCTTTGCTGTGATCAGGAACTACATGCCAGAGAGACGGATACACAGTTACCATTTCCACTGGGGTTCTTTCTTCCCAGAGGCCTGATTAGCCCAGGCAAAAAACTTCACACTGGGGAGCAGAGCAGCTGTCCACTTTCAACAAACCTCTGTCCCTTTCTCGAAGCTAGCAATGTTGTTTGCAACATTTACAAGATCGTGACTACTGGAGTTAACGCTTTAGAATTAATTATACATCTAAGGGAAATTAGAACTGCGTCAAAATTCTAAAGACTACTCAAGAAAAGAAACGGATGTTGTGAAACCGTAACAGAATAGGTCCCCTGTGTTTGCAGTCCTAACTAATACTGTAAATCCATATGGCAAACTCACTGCAATACCCAAGTCCAGACAGCTCACAGTAACACAAAGCATGAATCTACAGAACTGACTTCCTTTGGTTACCATATAAACTCCTTTTGTGCAAAAATCTTTGTAAGTTCTTTAGCATAACGCATATAAAATCTTTATTTTTTAATATATATTTATTTATTATTTATACAATATTCTGCCTGCATGTGTGCTTGAGAACCAGAAGAGGGCACCAGCTCTCACTGTAGATGGTTATGAGTCAGCATGTGGTTGCTGGGAATTGAACTCAAAACCTTTGGAAGAACAGCCAGTGTTCTTAACCTCTGAGCCATCTCTCCAGCCCCCTAAAATGTTTATTAAACTCACATGATCTGTCAATTTCATATTATTTTTATAGCCCAAAATAGAACACCATCAAATGGAAGAGATTCCTAGTAGCTGCAAATTTTACCTGGGTGAAAACAGGCAACAGTGAAACCAGTATTATCAGCCCACATATACACTACCATTCTTTTGTCCGTGTACTTACTTACTTGTTTGTTTATTGACTTATTTATTACCCAGGCTGGCCTGCAAATCCCTATAGAGTGGAGAATGACACTGAATTTCTGGTCCTCCTGCTTCCACCCCTCCAGGGTCATCTGGCTTTATGTGGTACTAGCAACTGAATTCAGTCTCACACATGCTAAGCAACCATTCTACCAACCAAACTACATCCTTCTCCCTGACTACTATCATTCTTAGGAGCAACACAGTCTTTCCAGGAAACCTTAATAGCCTTATAATCAGCCTGCTGCAACATGACATTTGTGTACTGATGGCCCCAAGATTTCCTGCTTGTAGGTATACAAGTGGTACTCGAGATTTTTGTAGTGTTTCTTTTATTCAATTGATTTAAGAAGATATTAACAAGACACTGCTCTAGATTCAAGAGCATAGTGATGTACGAGTAGGACTGTAGACTCTTTGAGGGTAGGGGCTGTTTCTAACAGAGAAGACCTAATTCTGTCAGGGGTCCATCATGACCTGAGGAATGAAGCAGTATGACATGTCCTGGTCCAGAGGAGAAACTGGGTCGACATCACACAGGGGAGGTATAGACAGCCTGGCAGGAAGGACTGTGTATGTTTTAACTACAGTTCAAACTTAATGGCAAACCTACTACTCAATGTCCTTTCTGCAGAGGACTAAGCACAGCAACCCAGTCAACTAAAACTAAAACACAGTCAACCAAAACACACCATTCCACTGTGAGTCTGTCTGCATCTCCACTGAACAATTATTGCTAATAACCACCTCCACTGCACAATATTGTCCCCCTCAGGCCCTACACTTTACCCACTGTGACATCTTTACAGTCCTCAAAGTTCCCAAACATATTTTCCAATTAGATCCCATCAGGAACACTGGCTCAACTTCCAGGTCACCCTACAGCTGGTTTGGCCTCATCCTTCAGAAATGAGATCACTCATTTATACCTCAGAGAAATCCACAAATGTTCCAAGAGTCACTCTGTACTTTTCATCCCATCTCCTGCCTTCTTCCTTGAAAGAGCTGTGGACTTAGGAAGCCTCGGGGAAACCAATAGCCCCTTAGTAGGGAGGTGGGTACAAACACACCAGTACAACTGAGAAAGTTTACTGGATGATCAGCAACTCTTGCCAGTTGCCCCTGGTCACTCCAAGACATTAAAAATACCAGCAACCAGAATAAAGACAGGCCTCAAGAACTTTGAGGGACTTCCATACAGAACACAATACTTCCCTGAAGCCAAAAGCCAAGGTAAGCAGCCACCTCCTTCCTCAGCCACCCAGTCTTGTTGGTAAGAGTTTAAAGCTCTCACTAGCAGGACAAGTAGATACCTTCAAGGTCATCCAACACAAAGTAAGCCAGGCATAACACTAGCAACACAGTTTATCCACACCAACTCAGGAGTCCTCATCAAAGATAGCACTAAAATGGCCCAAAATCCAACCTATTCAGTTATATCTGTATCATCTGTGACATTAGAACAGAAACTACATGGGGGCAGGAATTCCATCTGCATTGTTCACCGCTGCCCCTTCTACCCCAGGAAATTACCTGAGATTCAAGGTACCCATTTGTTAAGTGACTGAAAAAGTCTGAATATCAAATTTTTTACACATCTAGTACAAGATCTACAGAATAAAGAATAAAGATAGATCTTAGAAGAGGCACTGGAGTTTAGCACACTGGAAAAAAATGGAATAAAACAAACTATTTTTAGCAAGACAAACTTTAAGAAGCACACAGACGCTAGACACAGTGGCACACACCTGTTATCTCAGTATTTCAGGAAGTAGAGGCAGGCAGATCTCTGTGAGTTCAAGGCCAGCCTGGTCTACAAAGCGAATCCAGGATAGCCAAGGCTACAAAGAGAAAGAAAAAAAAAGAAAAGACAAAAAGAAAAAAAAAGAAAAGAAAAAAAAAACATAGAGGTATAAAGGAAGGGCTTGCTTAGGGCTGGAGGGACCACTATAAAAAAAAAAAAAAGAAAAAAGAAAAAAGAAAAAAGTTAAAGAAAGAAAAGAAAAAAAAAAACCATAGAGGTACAAAGGAAGGGCTTGCTTAGGCCTTGAGGGACCACTATAACCACACACTTTCTTTTTATTGTTGGGTCTTTGGTTTGGGTTTTTTTTGTTTGTTTGGTTTGGTTTGTTTTGGTTTGGGTTTGGGTTTTTTGTTGTTTTGGTTTGGTTTTTTCCCCAAGACAGGGTTTCCCTGTGTAGCCTTGGCTCTCCTGGATTCACTTTGTAGACCAGGCTGGCCTCAAACTCACAGAGATTAACAACCTGCATCTGCCTCCCTGTGGGCTGTGATTACAGGCATGTGACACCGCACCTGGCTAACCACACACTTTCTTTAGACAGGCGTCTTCAATTAATTCATTCACTTATTGTGCCCTACCAACGCCAAGGAACACTCTACCAAGTACTTAGAAATTAAGAGCCGAGAGCATCAAGACGTACAGTGAGCATAAACAACAGACAGAGTACAAGGCTAAAGCCCAGGCTGGGCATGAAAGCAAGGAATAAATAACACAACAAAGGCAGCTTTGGGATATTAATAATGCATATATTTAATGGTTTGCTTTATGCTTTACAAGATATTTCGTGAGTTATTATCATCTACCGTCCCTACAACCCTGTGAAGCAGATGGAGCAGTGTGTGGGGTAAGGAGCACACTTAAATGACCATTTCCTTCGACCTGTCTAAATAACAAACAAGTTAGAAAGGTAGGGCCTGGTAGAATTCCTGCATGAGCATCTGACTTCAAATCAGAACTGGAAGGTAGGTCAGGAATTTAGAAGAAATAAATGAGCCCTGGAGATGTACAGAAAAGCCACAAGAAAAAGAACAGGAGGTGCTCAAAGAAAGAAGGCAGAGCAGAGTGAGCAACAGTCAGCAAGAGTGGGGGCAGCATGACTGTCCTTAGCCTCAGGGTCTGCTGAGAAAAGGGAGGAGGAAGGAGTGAAAGGACTGAGCTAGGAGGGAGACCTTTCTGCTCCTCCATGTCTGACAGGGACACTAGCATGCTTTCCAACATATTACCATCATACGACTCAGGCAGATACTTCCAAAAAGCCACAAGGAGGCAAATGTCACACAGCCCAGCACAGCTTGAGGTCATTCCTAAATTTCTGAAGTAACCCTTAATTACTCATTCTCCTTCCCCACCAGCAGCCAGTAAACTGCATTACTTTCCCATTATCTCTCAAAGATCATCTATATAGCTCTCCAAACTGTCCTTTGTGTTCCTTTGCTACTAAACCTTATACTCAAAACTCTTTCTCCACTTCTAGCTGGAAGTCAACAGCAAAGGCTAAGGACAAAACCTCTGGAGCAGACAGTGTGCTCAAGCGCAGAAGTTACAGGGTCTAAAGCGGTAAACACTGTTCCTCAATTTCATCTGAAAAATGGGGCTAACAATGGTCGGTAATACTGCAGGGCTACAGTGATGAGAAAATAAGCATATGCCGAGTGCTTGTAGAACATTAGTTGGCATCATATAAATGCCAACTAGTTGTTTTTTTATAATCACTGAGCTCCTGGCAAAGCTCTCTCACCAAGAAG